TTGTACCACAAGAAAAATGTTTGATGATCAATGCGGTGATACCCTTCCAGTAATTTGCATATAGGTGAAAACGTGCCACTGAATTTCTCGTTTGTATATGAACAGAATAAATTACTCGAAAACCAACAAGTATATGTGATTAATACAGACGCGCGATCCCCCTAACCTTGGAGAATGTTTCGAAAAAATCCAACTGTCAAAGTAACGGAATTATTGTTGAATTGAACAGACTCAGCAAAACTTCGGTAGTTCCCAGAGACGATGTCTTGATGATATCCAAAATAACGCTGGGAGAAACTGGATCTAAGCTCCTATACAGGGACAAGTTTGGGTCATGACTGCATTCAGGAGTGGATGAATACACGATGAGAGTAAGAATCATCATCATCATGTTCAATATGTTCAATGTTCCGATAGATGAATAATGAATAAATAACATCAGTGATAGATGATAGATTAGAGGAAGGACTTTTAGAATCAGAAAGAAGAACAACAAAGAAGGAAAACACTAAGGCAGATAGGCATGATCCTGGCAACGGGTTTTTCCATATTATAAGTTCTATGGATATGACCGAAAAACGTCAGGAAATGCGTTGAAACAATGGAGGATAGTTGTTTTCTATTTCCAGGTTCGCTTGATATGGAAATGTTAGTTCGGTGAGCTGTATAAGCAATTTCAGTATTCTTATCCAATTCCACATTTCAAATTCGATTTCGATCTGCCTTTCTTAACAGTCCAAGTCTCAGAGACAAGACAATGGAGACTGGACAAGCGACATTTTGGTGGCTTTCGTGATATGTCACGCCATATTTTAGTTAGAGTCTTGTCATGGCTGACCGTGCTTGTTGAATGCGCCGACGGATTTAAACCTCCCAGCCACCTGAACTGTCGATCAAAGAACCAAGGTATACAAAACTCTGGACTACCTGACAACGGCCTACTGATGTTATTTTAGGATGATTGTCCTGTTCCCCATCAACGATCATGACCTTGGTCTTATTGTAGTTGATTTAACTATGTTGTTCTAACATGTTAAGTAAGGTTAACAATTCACCCTGAGAAGGAGCAATAATAGTAGTATCGTAGAAGGCAGGTAGGTGACTGGAACATGGGAAGTGTTGACGTTAAGAAGAAGGCTGCTAATACAATAGAGGAATGACTTAAATAATAAAAAGGACTTTCAAGAAGACATAAAGCCCAAGCAACAGTCGGTACCAACCATACCATACCATTTTCTTCAAAAAATGAAAATGTAACAAATGAAATTGATGTGAAAAAAATGGTATCAGTAGATATACATGGTTCTTTCTGCGCCCTCCGTGACGTCAGCGCATGCGTCAACCATGGTGTCGCGACGCCAATACGTCATCAGTAGGAAATCTCTGAACTAACCCAAATGATCGACGCCAATACGTCATCAGTAGAAAATCTCTGAACTAACCCAAATGATGACCACGTCTGCTATGTCATATTTTAGGGCGTGCCCTGTAGTTTGACGTACTTTACCTGTCAACAGTGACCTGTCATCTTGTACGAGATAACAAGTCACGAGGTACCTGTTATCTTGCACGGGGTAACAGGTCCCAGGGTACCAACACCTGTCAACTTCACTACTAGTTAACGAGAGGTAAACCACTCGTGGAAATATAAGTAAATTTTTTTTTGGGAATCAATATATATTAATCAATCAGGAATGCATGGAAATCACTTCGGAGTCCCTGGGAATAACCTGGGAATCGCTAGGAATCTCCTAGGACTCCATGGGAATCACATAGGAATACATTGGCAATCGCCGAGAATCATGTGGTAATCGCTAGGAATATCATCTCATTCTAACACAGAAATCGTATATCATACATTTTAAGCGATAGAGCGTAACGGACAGTTGTGTATTTGCCTTTAAGACTAAGTTTTAGGCAACAGAGTGTTAGATAATTTGAAATGAATTTGATATTCCAACGAGTTTCCCAATAACTGAGCCGATAACTGAACCAGGGACTACAAGGAGTTTTGAACTTGAAGAAGAAGAAAAACGAGATGAAGATTAGGTCTGTTCTCAGAAATCACAAACCAGTCAGAGCGTTTTTGATTGGTGCAAATCGCCAACAACCAGTGCTCTGACTATTTTCAACCAATGAAATTCGCTCTAACTGGTATGTGATTTCTGTGAGAACAAACAGTATGACAATGTTGTAGATCATAAAAAATGAAAACATGAATCTTGAAACCTCTCCGGAATCCGACTTGCCAAAAGAAAACACAGAATTTCTTCAGACATCCGGGTTTAGCAATTGCGATTAGCTACAATCAAGAGATTAGTCAGGGCTCAACTTTAATTTGGTTCTCTTCAGAGAAGCAGGGACGTTTGTCGATCGAGTATTAAGAGCAATGGGAATGTCCCTGAGAAAGACACAAAAGAATAAGTCAGGAATCCAAGGCAATAAGAAGGGGAAAGTAGAATAAATACTAAGCAGGGCGAGAAGCAGAGACGATACCACATCTGAATCAGAATCAGAAATAAGTTTCTCCAGTGAAACCCTAACTGAAGATGTCTCTGATTCAGATGAACATCCTAATGAAATCAAAGAAATATCCATTACTTTAGATCCATATTATGCAGTGTAGACACGTAATGGTATCTAGGGCTCAACAACTATTTATATCTACAACAAAATCGGTGTGGGTGTGGACAACTATGAAAATAAAAGTTACTAACTTTTGGAAGAGTTGCAAATACAGAAGTTGCCAATTTTTCAGTGGAAACTTGTTTTTATAAGAGAAAAGACTGTTTATTTTGATAATCTCAGTGCGAACCTTAACAATTAGACAGGACAGGATTATTGTAGGAAATCAGCTAATCAATTGGGAATGATATAGGAATTCCCAGAAAAAATGAAAATCACCTGGTAATCATATAACAATATCTGAAAATCATTAGCAAACAGTAGCAATTCTTGGGATGGGAATATATGATATTCATTGATCAGTGAACAACAAATATGGACATCTTTTTACATTTGTAAGCATATTGGTTGACTCCTCATGGCATCAGCTGTGGAAAGACCTTTCCAGTCTGAAGCCAGATCTCCAACGTGGACACATCTGGAAAAATAGAATATATCGTTTTCGAAGATATACCAGATATCTAAGGATTCAAGATAAGAAAACAATCAACGATTTGGAGGCGAAGGAGCAGGAAGAAATGCTGGAAAAACAAGAAACATTGAAGAGACTAACCTATAGCTAAAGAGTGCGCAAATACCAAAAAAAAGGAATAATAGTCTCGTAGTTCTGCTTTTAAACATCTACAGATATGCCACAATGATAGTATACAGCTGGAACCTCAATCCATTTCAATCAGGAGATTAATGAGACAGGGAGATGTGTGTGATGTCTCCAAAACGTTTCACGATAGCAGTGGATGATTTATTCAAGAATGTAGAATGGCTCCAACAGTTTTGAAGGGCTACAGATAAAGACTAGTCGATTGGCAAGAGCATCGGAAGAAATTGGCCTGAAGATAAATATCGAGAAAACTTAAGTGATGAGTGTGATGACTAATAACGCCACTCTTTTTGAAAAAAATTATCTTTCTAAGGTTGAAGCTTGATAAAAGCCACCAAACAGTGGAAATTGTACCAAAAATAGAATTAGCATGAGCAAGTGTTTTCAAGCTTTTCAAGTCTTTCAATCAAAAGATTCAACTTCACCTGTATTTTTACCCAATCAGGTTGTAGGAAGTAGCATCAAAATTCACCTATCTAAAAGGAGTTTCGCACACACATTTGCAAGTAATGAAGATCACGGATGGAACTTAGAATTCCTTACCGAGAGATAACACTCGAGAGAAGTTTCTCAAAATAGAGTTCGCTGGTGAGAATTGAGAGAAGTTTCTATCCATAGCCGGAAGATGAGAGGCTAAAGAAGAGGAAGGAGAGTCTACCACTTCTCAGTGGTCTCTGTGGTCTCACTGGTTTTTGTTTTACCCCTATTTCTGCTAGTCAGTCCTTTTTTCCTATGATAGAAAATACTGCATCCAATTCAAACCACTGCCCTTCAATTTAGATTTGCTTATCTACCTTAAACAGTCTAATTTCATTGTAACAAGATTGCTTCAATATATTCGTGGTTATTATCAATTTTTCGTCAATAATTCTTGATCATTTCAATTACTCGTTTTACCGATGTAATGAGGGCATATTATATTACTGTATCCATGTCACGAAGTCATTAAGGAAGGAAGTGATTCGTTCCCAGACACGCGTTTCATCTGATAGGCGCCGAAGTGGGACAACAAAAAAAAAGGAAAATAATTTAAAATTGATGGATAGTGCGTGCAATGGTCAAGTTTACGCAAAGATATTTCAATTAATATCGATAAAATTGTTCGATGATTATCTGAAAGGAGGACTTAAAAATGATTTTAACGAACAAAAATGACGCTTCAAGCAGTTTCGTGTTTGATGGTAGTTAGTAGATTCGTTCTACTACGATGGTCTGAAGGTGGCTAGTCAATTGACTTGAGATCCGGCTTCATACGATTTGGGTCAAAGGGGCTTTAAGACTAGAAAAGAAAAAGCTCCTACGAACAGAGTTATTAACTGGGCTATTCTATCTACCCTCTTGTTTCAATGCATTCTTTTGCTTTACTAGTAGGTGCATGCTTTTCCATCACTAATAAGTTTTCTATCTACTAATTACACTATCTTCATAATTTTCTAGTTTGATCTGGATACTTCGATTTATCTTGCTGAGAAATTTTTGTAGTCAGGCTTTATCATAAAGCTTATATGATATTTGAAAAACCGGCTTGTACTAAAAATGAGCTTCCGATATACCCCCAAATATTTAAAAAAAAATTGCGATGATTCAAAAATAACTCGATTAAAGAGTATATAAAGGTGCTGCTACAAAACTGATTCGGATACATTGTAAAGAGAATTAGCTCTTATAATAGTAATCTATAATCTATAATGTAGATCTGATTCAATTCACTTACATGGGATAATATCTCCGTGAACCGGCAGATCAACTTCATTGGTTACACTCTTGTTGGTGAGGTCGTATTGACAAGTCACCGCCAGGCCAAGATCGCTGCTAGTGACGATTTTATCGTGGTGTTGAATTACTACGTCATTAATGTAGCTGAAATTTGAAAAAAAAGCAAATTAATTTACAGAGTAGAATAGCAAAAAGCTTCAAACGTCTAGTCGTTTTCTATAGAACACCAGTAGTCGACATAACTTTGAAAGCACTTCACTTGCTTCCTGTTATGCCTTTTATGTAAGAGAAACTCCGAATATGGTAGTAAAATGGCACAATTAAATTTGCCGGTCTTTATGGTGTGTTTAAAGCTATTTTTATATTTCCTCGCCATACCGACCTGATCGTAGATTCTTTTCATAGCATAAGCTTTTTTGTAACAATGTATGTATATGAATTTTATCAGATTATTCTTATGAATAACTAGTTGTGCGGGTTATTTCAAAGAAGCCGATTTGTAAAATGAAAGTATCGTACCTTCCAAGTCCATTCTTTCTAACGTTACACTCCAAATTGTCATAAGCCATATTGAGTTCGAACTCCAAACTGTTGTTGACGTCACGCACGCAAGAGTTGGGACTGCCCTTAGCGTAGATTTTTCCGTCGAACAATTTGCTGGTTTGAATTCTGGCAATCATATCGCCCGATCTACAGTCGATGCTGACGTTGTAACAGGAACTGAGTTCGTAGGTGGCGGCTTCTGGAACGTCGAGGTAGGGATCCTGGTGGAAAGAAAATGAGATTTCGATTAATTTTTTTAAGGGCTGGGTCTACTGTATAGCTTGAAAGTGAATGTAAAAAGTAACATCAATTAATTTGATTCGTTTAGATATGATAAGTATAAGACATTAATTTATTTTTACAAAACAGAAGGCTCAATCTTCCTGCACCTCTATCTAGAAAGTGATTTTTCTTTTGGTTACTGTCATTTATGTATTCCAGTGATTGATTGATTGATTGATTGATGGAAGCACAAGCTATTAAAATCTTTAAAAATTGGCTAATGGCATAGTGAGTTCACATTATTTCTGTTTGTTGGAGACAGAAATGGTGTAAGGAGAGGCTGCCACTTTTCTAGAACTTAATTGGTAGATTTATAGGTCCCTCTCGCGGGAATGTTTTGATTCTCTACATTCTTTATGTTTTTTGAGGTGCTGAATCCGAATCTGAGGTTTGCTAACATAATTTCGTGATGCAACATTGAAAAAAATTCAAAAAAAGTGAAAAAAAAATGTAGTTTTGGCAGTCTTTTGCGTATAACTCGAAAACTATCCATTTTTTGGACAAAAACTTCTATTGAAAATGGAAGTAAATAAAATTTTCTATAAATTACATCAGTTAATTTTTTTGTGGTTCATGAGCATTGTCGTAAGAATTATACTAATGAAAAAATGATTGCAGCTCATTTGAAGAAGGTGGAGCGAGGTAGGGAACAGGTTGAAAAACGTTTAACTGATTTCTCTAACAAATCTCATTCCTTTATATGTGGCCTTCTCATAACCCCCGAGTTTATAGAACAACATCAGGTTCGAACTTTAAAGGTCAAGAGCATCAGAACGCAGTGATGAGTACGGACAAGCTATAATCAAGCGTCTTTTACCCGTCTCAGACTTGGTGGCCTCTGATTGTCAGTACCATAGTTTATGTATGAGAAAACTGTACAAACGCCCAAAAATTCAAGACAAGAGACCAAGAGGTCCATCCGTCAATGATGTTGAAGCAGCAATGGAAGATGTCTACAGTTATCTTGAGAATAGTGATGGAGAATGCCAGAGTTTATCGACCAAATCAAAGGAGATTATTGTTCTGGCAAGAAAAAACAGTCAAAGCTCATCTACTGGAAAAATATGGAAGCGATATACTAATTACTTTTCCCCAAACAAGGCGCAGGTAGTATGTTTCAAAAATACAGGATATTAAATTTTGACTGATGCTTGGTACCAGCAGGCAATGAAAAACGAACAGGAGGAAAGACTCCGAATCGTTAAGGCAGCTGCTTCAATTATTGAAGATATCCGGAGCCAGGCTTATTACACAGAACAGAATCCCCCACCTGCAAAGTTTTTAGATAAAAATGAAGAACTCATTCCAGAAACCGTCCGTACATTCTTGGAAACAGTTGTACTAAACAAAAAACGCGGGGTCCATGATATTTGGAAGAAAAAGGAGCACAGGCCTAGATCGTTTATCTCACCTGTTTTGGTAGGGTTGGCAGTGCTACTTTACAAGAAGTACAGCTCAAGAAAATTAGTTGACGTAGTGTCTTTATTGGGGTTTTGTTCATCTTATACAGAAGCTGTACGCCTGGAAGTATCAGCAAAAAAGGGCGATCCGCTGAAAGTGAATCAGCCGTGCTTTTCACAGCAGGTTTACGACAACGCTCATTTCAACGTACATACGATCGACGGATACAACACCTTTCACGTCATTTCCTGTAAAACAGGCAGTGGTCCCCAATCAATTCATAAAACGGCTCAAAATGATCGGAGAAACACACTCGCGTGAGGTTTCCGGAAGTTATGGAGCAATTAAACTGAGACATTTTGAGAGAACAAAACCTAAAGGCTTAGGTGAATTGAAGATAAACGATATTAATGAAATGAAACTGCGATCCCCTCTGTACCTGATCTTCTGTGGCTCTATAGAAAAAGTATAGACATTCCTGGTCTCTTTGGATGGAATGGATTTATGGAAGATACTGAAAGAAACATACCATGAAGTAACTTTTATTAGCTATGAGCCATTTATAAATGCTCCTCCAAGTGAATATGATACAATATTCACAGCATTGTTGGACGGAGTAGAGGAGACCAAATCTTTAAACCAAGCTACCTGCCTAGTGACATTTGGCCAACCCCTCTATTTCAAGGCCCGAGACATTCTTGTTAGCCGTCCGGATGATCCTGCTCTTTCAAATGTAATAAGGCTAGGAGGATTCCATTTACTGATGTCGTTTATGGGGTCAATTGATTTCATGATGCAGGGTAGTGGATTGACTGAACTTTTCGATGGAATACTTGCAGCAAACTCAACTGAAAAAATCATGATTGACCACGCATACGCAAGGACAGTACGAGCTAATATTTTGGCACATAGAACTTTCGCCAACATAATTTTTCAGTCAATGACCCTGTCAGCTACAATGGTGGATCAATTGGCGGAAATCTTGTTTAACATGGACAAAACAGTGATTTTTTCTAATGATGTGAAAGAGATTGCGAAAGATCTGCAAGATGAATAGGCACCTTGCATGAAAAATTAAATTGATAACTGTTTATTGCAAACTGTAGGAAAGCGGAAAAAAATCTATACGTATTTCTTTATTTTGTCCAAATATGAATATTCCGAAAGTTATACAAAGCCTAAATTTTTGGCAGAACGTATGGCTCAAATATGTCAACTTCAAAACGTAGCGAGAGCAATAAGAGAGAACCCAACGATGCACACTATTCTAGGAGGAGACTTCAATGCAAAAATAGGCAGAGGAGCAGAACCAACGGCAACACACATAGGACACTTCGGACTCGGCACCAGAAATGAAAGGGGAAGAATGTTAGCAAACTTCCTAGAAAGAGAAAGACTCTGTCTGATGAACACTTTCTTCCAAAAGAAAGACAAACGTAAATGGACATGGAATAGCCCAGATGGACAAACCAAAAATGAGATTGACTTTTTAATCTCCCGCCATAAACAGATAATCCAAGACGTAGATGTAGTCGATCAATTCAACACCGGCAGTGATCACAGGATGGTAAGATGCAAACTGCTCAAAGACACAAAAATGGAAAGAAAAAGAAAGATGAAACAAACGACGAAGAGAGGAAGTAGAGAAAAGATAGCAGAAAGAAGGGAAACATACAAACAAAGAAAACATTTCCAACAATCCAGGAAAAACAGAAGAGTCATTAGATGATACCAATAGGAGAATAACAACAATTATAACAGAAACAGCAAAACCGATAATAGGCCCCTAGAGAAAACGCCGGATAAACTGTCGATAGAAATGAAACAGCTACTAGAGAAAAAAAGAAAACTGATAACCGAGGGTAAAAGAGACACTATTGAATACACAGAAACCAACAAAACAGCAAGAAAAATGGCGAAACAGGATATACTAAAACATCAAACGCAACAAGTGCAATCCCTATTAGAACAGAACAAAGGACTAAATATATTTAAAAGGCATAACACACCTAAGAAAGAGATAACCAAAATAAAAGATGCGAAAAACAACATAGTAGAAGACAGACAACAGATACTAAAAGTTGTGGAATCTTTCTATAGAGATCTGTACGAATCTAAAATATCAAACACAAGGACAAGGGAAGACAAAATCCGAATAGTAAATGCAAACTCAGAAGAAATGCCCGACATAAATATGGAAGAACTGGAGAAAGGGTTATCCCAGATGAAAAATGGTAAAGCGGCAGGAGAAGACAACATTCTGCCTGAAATGCTCAAGGAAAGCGATACTAAGACGAGACAAGAACTAGTGAAACTATTCAATAAGTGCCTAACAGAAGAACATATACCCAAAGATTGGGAGAATGCTGTAGTTGTTCTGATCTACAAGAAAGGTGACCCGACTGATCTCGAAAACTACCGGCCGATAAGCTTACTATCACAAATATATAAATTATTCACCAGAATAATCACCACCAGATTAGAGCGAAAACTCGAAGTTTACCAACCAAAGGAACAGGCTGGATTCCGAAACCATTATAGCACGACAGAACATCTACACACAGTAAGGCAGATGATCGAGAAAGCTACAGAATATAATATAAACCTATGGATGGCTTTTGTCGATTTCCGGAAAGCCTTCGACAGAGTAGAAATCTGGGCAATAATAAAATCCTTGAGAAATGCCAGAATGGATCAACTATATAAACCTCATTGAAAACATCTATAAGACTTCGACAGTGTCTATAAGACTTCATGAATCATCTGACAGAATAAACGCCAAAAGAGGAGTTCGGCAAGGGGACGTAATATCTCCAATATCTCCACTTTAGTGATCGAGGATATTTTTAAAAAGTTACAATGAGAAAACAAAGGATTGAACATACATGGTGAACGCCTGCACAATCTAAGATTTGCTGACGATATTCAGGCCTATGATGTATCATTTTCTGTTATTTTAACAGCAACGTTAAGTTATCTGTCACTGTTTATTCTATGCGTCAAAATGGAGACAGAAGTAGATGTTGAGCCTTAACACGGCCGTTAAAATAACAGGACAGGATACATCATAGGCCCGATTGTAGTGTTCGCGGAAGATAAACAGGAATTGATAGATATGTTGGAAGAAGTACAAGATGAGGCGGCAAAAGTAGGATTACACATAAACTACGCAAAGACCCAGTTTATTACAAATACACCAGATGCAGACGAAACAATACCGATCCATGACAGCACAATAAAAAACACAGAAACATACATATACCTTGCCCAAGCTATAACACCGGGCAAACAAAATCAAGAAATGGAAATTGATATGAGAATTAGACTTGGATGGGCGGCTTACGGCAAGTTAAAGTACATCTTCAGCATGAATATTCCAATGACTTTAAAATAAAAAGTCTATAACGAGTGTATACTGCCTGTTTTCACGTATGGCTGCGAGACCTGGGTGATAACCAGAAGAATTAAACACAAATTGGAAGTACCTACATCAGAGAGCCATTGAAAGACGAATTTTAGGAATTTCCCTGAGAGACCA